CATTTTTTAAACCTCAAGCTCTGCCTCTGCTTAATTATGGTCTGAACTCCTGCTCATTCACCAAAGCTTTGCCCAGGGCTCTTTCTTCTGTGAGCTTTCTGGCTCTGTGGGGTTAGCCAGTTTGATGAAAGTATTTCAAATTGTATATAAAACTAGTACACTGTATCCCATAATTGCATTAATGTACACCGCTATAATTTAATTAAAAATAAAAAAAGCCCTTGCTGGAACTCCTACAGTGACCGAGCGACTGCCTTTGCCACACTTCTTCCCAGCGTGAGTGTCTGGACGTGCCTATCCTGCAGATACGTGACCACGCAAAACATACCTTCTTTAAAAATGTTGCTGTAAAAATAACACACGCACATCTTAACTCTGACGTAAAGCATGCCGGGGATTTAGTGTGAAAAGTGAACGTTTCTTCCTCTCTCTTTAACGCTTGGCCTCACAACTTTCCATTTTTGTGAGATGCGAAAATTAGCACCCACGGTTGTCTTTCTACCTCTCTGTTCTCCTTCCCAGTCAATGCCGTCTTCCTCAGTTATCTTTTTTCTTAGCTTTATTGAGGTGCAATTCATATCCTGGAACTTGCACGTATTTAATGTACCCATCTTGATGAGTTTGGGTAGATGCACAAACCCGTGATACCATCACCTCAGCCGACGGTCCAGACATCCCCGTCACCTCCACGGCATTGCTGTTAAAATGCAGGTATTTGGATTTTGTTAAGCTCTATGCTGACACACCTACGTTTGTACCCAGAGGCATTCTGTACTTCATTACCATCAGCCGTCTGCTCCGTCCTGAGCCAGTAACACACTGTAGAAAGATCATTGCTTTTACATTATCCTTCATTTTTAGTATTTCATTTGAGGGCCCACATGGATTTTTGACTTTATTCATCCACTTCTCTGAAAAATTCACCGGCGATACACGTGACATTTACACATGAACTTGGAGACAATTGAGATTTCTGCTGTGTTGAGTTTTGCACTTGTGAGAATGGTACGCCTCCACATTTAGTCCTCAGATTCTTTAATAAAATGACATTATATTCTCCGAGGAGTTCTTCAATACATTTTTTTCTTGGTATAATTGGAGGTATTATTTTTAGACCTGTTGCAAGATTACACGGCATTTAAAAACTTTTATTTTAAAAGATGTAGGGGGTACACGTGGTTTTATTACATAGATAATTTGCACAGTAGAGAAGTCTAGGCTTTTCGTCCACCTGTCACTTGAGTCACGTACATTGTACCCAACAAGTTACTTTTCATCTCCCTCCAATCCTCCCATTTCTCTACTCAGCGAGCCCGTAGCAATAAACGTAGCCTGCCTTACTTATGGATTTTTTTCATCATCATCCTAAGCCCTTAATATCCGTTTCCTCTCATGTCCCCCAGATTTCTGTGTGCATAAATTAGGAAAATGTCAGTAGTTAATTCATAGCATCAAACATCTCTTCACGGGTCTCATGCTTTGTACCACAGCTTTAGAGGCCTGTGTAACTTTGATCTTTCTAGGTTTGAAAGAAAAGAGTTGTTTGGTTGGCTCCAAAAATCAGCTTGGTCTTGCACGGCGGCTGTCTCAGGGGTGGGCATGACTATATGCTGAAACAATACAGCATTCATACTGTCAGATGGAAGTGGAGAGGATGTGTCCACTGACAAAGAAGATTCATAAGAATTTAGGAACTCAATATCCCCAGCTTTATCGGGACATCCCCACACATCCCTATTCCAGCTTTCTAGATTTCACTTCTTCCCAATCAGTCTCCTCATGGAACATTTGACACCCCATGAGGCTGGAAATTTAATTTGCATTGACACTCAGACACTTAAAAGATGAGATTCTGGGTTTGAATTACAGCAATCTCTGGCCTGTGGCTTTTAAAGAGGAGTCCCTTTCAGGGCAGACAAAGAGACCCACATATGTATGTGGCACTTGAACTTGGAATTTGAATTTCTGAGCTTGTCTTTCTATTTCCATACTCTGTTCAGTGACAAACCAGCCAAACTTCATGTACTCATTAATTTGACAAAAATGTTCTATTATAAGCCTGGTCCCTAGGTCTTACCTCTTCTAAGTGTTTGGTTTGGAATATCCAGGGGTGACACTATTTGCTCTCCTCTTGCTACACCACCCCAGTGCTGTCTGCGCTCTTTCCTACTGGAGATGATCAATAGTGTGTGCAAATCAACGTGGACAGTCAATTCCAGAAACCTCAGAACCAATTCAGAAAAGGTATTCTTGTGATTCTATTCCTTCAAAATAATTCCTAGGACTGAAATATGTATTTGTAAGTTTCCCCAGAGAAGCAGAAGCAACAGCAGATATCTATCAATCTATCATCTGTCTATCTATCTATCTATCCATCCATCCATCTATGAGTTGGTATATGTGATTATAGTGGCTTGTTGAATCCAAAATCTTCAGGCCAGGTAGGCAGGTGCAGAGTCATGGGAGAGATCTAGCTCCAAGCCAAAGGCAGGATTCCTTCTAGTTCAGGAGAGATCATCAGCTCCTTTACTTATCATGATGCACTTACTATCTTACAACATATTCCATATTTCACTTGTTGTTTGTTGTTTTCTAATGTTCATCTTTTTGATTATTATGTTGACTCAATACAGGCAATTGCCTTGGGAGTCTTTCTGATTATTTTTTGTTGTGTTGTTATACAGGATTGAGTTGGACACACGTTAGACACTTAACATCACGTATGGAAACAGTGAATGAGAGTTTCTCCTATTCTTCCAAGTTTATTTCTAATACAGGGAGAATTTGTTCCTGCTTGATTCTTTTCCTCTCTCTTTCAGGTTTCCTTTTCTGCTAAGTTCTCAAAATGGAAAAATAATAATTTTTTTTTTTTGAGATGAAGTCTCACTATGTCACCCTCAGTGGAGTGCTGTGGTGTCACAGCTCACAGCAACCTCAAATTCTGAAGGACAGTGAACTGGCCCCTGTTTAAAAGGTTTGAGGACCCCTGCCTGAGAGTGTTGAGAAGAGGGGTAGTTAGTTTTTCACAATAAACTGGCTTCTGCTCCGCTTTCCTCGCTCCCTGAGGTAAGCAAGGAGATGCTGTCATCTCCATGCGACCTTTATCCTACATTTGTTCTTAGGGGTATGGATAACCAGAACAGGGCCCAGGCTCTGGGCTGCTGGGAGCATTAGTGTGATGGGAGCACTTTGGAAGGCTGTTTTCCTTCTGATCTTGAGGAACAGATTCTTCCTTCACAAAAGAAGACTCTGGGGTCTGGATGTCAGGTGGAATGAACATGTTAGGTAAACTCTAAAGTCCATGTACTGACACATCCCCAGAGCTTTGGGGACTGAGCATTGGAACTAAGGGTCTTCTGGAACTTTCCTTTCTTTCTTTTCTTTTTTCTTTCTTTCTTTTTTTTTTTTTTTTTTTTGCAGTTCTTTTTTTGTCTGGGGTTGGGTTTGAACCCACCACCTCTGTTATATGGGGCCGGTGCCCTATTCCTTTGAGCCACAGGTGCCACCCAACTTTCCTTTTCTTGTTGATTGGGGCAATCCTTGATAAAGGGGATCTCCAATGTCTGAAATGGAAGAAGACTGTAGACGCTCAAAATTTAGATGTGGAAATTTTGAGGCACCAGGTTTTCGACTCGAACGTCTTGCCTGGTCTCGGTGGTGATGTTTCTGGTAGGCTAGGAACCAGCTTTCTGCGGTTGTATCAAGCTCAGGCGCTCTGAAGTGATGGTGCTCTGTTCAATGGGCTCGCTAGGCACCTGTGGAGTGTGAGCGATGGGACGCTGTGGCGATCCATAGCAGCGTTTGGGGGCCCTCCAGTGGTTGTTGGTGGAATAGCAGCTGGGCTTTCTGGGAACGTTAGGGGGCTTTTTTTTTTTCGCCCCCGGGGAGGCATCAATAAGTGAATGAAGAGCAATTAGGCCCCGCGCGGTGGCTCACACCTACAATCCCAGCACTGGGAGGCCGAGGTGGGTGGATTTCCTGAGCTAACGGATTCAAGACCAGCCTGAGGAAGACCGAGACCCTGTCTACAAATAGCTGGGCCTTGTAGCAGGTTCCTGTAGTCCCTGCTACTAGGGAGGCTGAGGCAAGAGAATAACTTGAGCCCAGGAGTTTGAGGTTGCTGTGCGCTATGACGCCACAGCATTCTTCCTAGGGGCGACAAAGTGAGACTCTGTTAAAAAAAAAAGGAAAAAGGAGCAGTTAGCAACTACATGTTGTTTGGCTTCAGGCTGGGAAGTAGGCTCCGATTTTAATTCCTGCCCGCTCGGCAGTGCCCAGGCTGCTGCTCCTGTCAGGGCGCAATGCGTTTACGTAGTGAACTTTATTTTTAGACAGAAAGTCATTTCTTAGAGAAATAAATGTTTGTCATAAAAATATGAAAAGTATATATAATTCTCTTTCCCTGACCAGGGTCAAAATTAGACCTTAAAAAAAAAAAAATAGTGAAGCAGGGATATTATCTGAGAGCTTCTGAGACAGAGAATTGCCCCAAATGTCCTGTCCCAGGGCCACCTGACATCTCTCCTTTACCTTCTCTGTCTTAACCACCTGTGAAAATTTTCATTCCTCAGCCTGGGATGCTCAGAAGCATCTGGCAGAGTTGACTATATCTTCCAGCGTAAAAATGCCTGTGTATATGGATTTGGCAGGGAAACATGGCATGACATAAATGGAATCACACATAGCTCTCCTTAAAGATGGTAAAAAATTAAAATATCCTATAATTCTAGAGGTAAAAAAATTAAAATTGAAATGTGGGCATTGGAGGGTGGTCAGTGATGGGTTGAAATCAAGCCTTTATTAGGGGCTGTGTTAAAGCAAAACATATAATGTAAAAAATTTCCACAGCACTCCCTACATTTAGAGTAAGGGCTGGTCATCTTCCTGTTTGGTGAGCAACCTATGTACAACGCTAACTGTGAAACTTGGCTATGGCAACCACATCCTGTTCATTTTCGAGTTTGCTCTATCCCTGTGCCTTGTTCAACAGAAGTAGCACTATGTCCTTCAAAGTCCTCCCTCTCCTGTGTCTAGGTAAGTCCTGAAAGGAAAGGAAGAAAAGGATGAGGATGGAAAGTGCTGTCCTCAAGACCTGACCTCTCAACAACCCAGAGCTGAAGGTGGGAGCCCTGGGGAAGGCTAAGTTCATCTGTCTTCCGAGCCCAGGCTGAGCCACCAAGTCCAATATCCACAACAAGGCCCAGTTATGGGGAGGGCAGGATTCATGTGGGGACAGGTCTTCTCTGATGTGCTTTTCCCTCCAGGATTCTGCTTGGGCCACAGGAGCTTCACACGCATGGGTGAGTCTGACCCCAGTCTTAGCACACTGTGCTGGACGAGCACAAATAGATCTCCCAGGCAGGGCAGGTGGACGTGGGGTTGGGCTGATGCAGGTGACTTCAGAAGGGCTTTTCAGTGATTCTCCTGGGAGCAAAGAAGGTGGTTCTCTAGAGACCATAGGCCTTCATTTTGTTCTAAAGACCCTCCATATGAACCCCTCTGGACTCAGCCTATCTCCGGGAGGAGCCTGTGTTGTTCAGAATCTGTGGAGGCCTGAAATAATCCCTGGAAGGAGGGGAGAACTTGGAGAAAAGGACTTAATGCTGTGTCTAGCTAAGTTCTGGAAGGAAAGGAAGGAAAGGCTGCATGGAGCCTTCCAAGCACCAGGAAGAGTACAGATTCTCTCACCCATCCTTGAGGCTGAGCTAAACAGTTTCCTGCTGCCAGGCCCTGAAGAGGGACTGGTCAGCAAGCAGAGACCTCATGGACCTACGAGCACATTTTCTGGGTAGGAGAACCACTGAAATGGGTTTCACACTTTGCCTATGTTGCTTAAATCCAGTAATTTTCCCTTTCTTCTGTGTATATGCTATTACTATAATCGAAGTATTTGCGAGAGCCTTTGTGGGACATCTTATCAATACTCTAAATTGAGGTTCTGGGGAGACCTGCCGTGTCCATAGTGGGGTCTGCTGCACCTCTGGCCCACCACCAGCTATCCTCGGGCACCAGAAGACTCCAGTTTGGGGGAAAAGCTTGGAATAATGTAAAGAAGGAAGAGTCCCTAAGGACAACGAGGAGAGGGGAGGCCCCATATTCTCCTCTCCAAGATTTGTCTTTTTGTCTCCCAGGTGGTTACTCTCGGCCCTCCCTGTCAGCCCAACCGAGCCATTTTGTCCCCCTGGGAGGACATGTGACCCTCCACTGTCATTCCAATCCTCCGTTTACGATATTCAAACTAATCCGAAGAGTTAGGAGTCACAGCTCTCAGTTCCAGAAAACCCTTTTTAGCAAAAGCGTCACCATTGAGTCCGTGACCTCAGCACATGCAGGGACCTACACGTGTTCTGGAGCTTACAGCTGGTACCCCACTGTGTGGTCTGCCCATAGCAACACCCTGGAGATCGTGGTCACAGGTAGGAGAAGCCCATCCCAGTCCATGTTCGCCCTATGTCCTGATGGCCATTCCCAGAGTCTGCACCCAGTGAGTCATTGTAGGAACCCTCATCAAGTCCTAAATGCAGATAAAGAAGCCATTTGGACAAATTAGGAAGATATTTCATGCAAGGAATTGGGTGCCCAGGTGAAGAAGGAATGAGGCAGGAAAGAAGGAGGAAAATCTAACTAGGGATTAGGAAGAGCAGGATGTTGGTACCAGGCACAGAAGGGAGGAGGAGCGATGTTACCTGCCTTCCCTGACCCCAGCACCAGTGCTCCTACCTGGGAGGTTGTCATTCTGTCTCAAGGGTTCCAGAGCCATGGGGAAGATACAGCCCTCTCAGGAGAGGCTTCTAGAGGCTTGGCTGGGGCATGAACTAGGACCTGTTTCCTTTTCTCCCCACTTCTCTTCCCAATCTCCTTTGCTTTCATGGATGTGCAGAAGGTCTCAAGGAAAGCTGGAGGACACATTCTGCAGGGTCACCACCAGCCCACCCCACAGAGCAGGGAGGGAACAGGGCACAAGGTCGGTCTCACAGCCAGAGAGCTGTGGACAGGGGCTATTATCCAGGTGACAGAGGGGGTGAAAAGCAGGTGGAGGTGAGGCAGGCTGCAAAAGACACGATCCCGATGACGAGGAATTATGTCCAGAGAAAAAACAAGCTCACAGTCAGAAAGAGACACAGACAGGCTTTGGTGATGATGGGCAGAGGGCGGGGGAAGGAGAATTTCAGTCTGGCATGCTCAGGGAAAGGGCAGAGGAAGGGTGACACACATAATCTCACAGCCTCTTTGCTCGCAGGTGTGTTCATAAAGCCCTCCATCTCGGCACACCCAAGCTCCCTAGTGCACGCACCAGGGACTGTGACCCTGCGCTGCCACTCAGAACTGGTTTTTGATAGATTCATCCTACACAAGAAGGGGAGCACATGGCATCCCTACCTTGAGAAGGAGGCCCGTTCCAATTTCCGCAATGCCCAGGCTGACTTCCCCATGGACACCGTGATGCCCACCCATGCAGGGACCTACATGTGCTATGGCTCTTTTAGTGACCATCCCTGTAGATGGTCAGCCCCCAGTGACACGCTGGATGTTGTGATCACAGGTGAATGTGTGGCCAGACCAGCCCCGGGTCTTTGGATGCCCTAAAGCTTCAGGGGGTGGGTGTGGCTGCTGATGGCAATGTTAGTACAGGGAGAAACAAAGAGACAGAAAGAGAAACCAGCACCCCCAGTAGAGAGGGGTGGGGGTGGGGGACCAGGAAAAGTCGCCCAGTATAGAATGGAGTGTAATTACAGAAAGAACAGATTAGTCAGTGATGGAGATTGTGAAAGAGATAGTGAGAAAGACACATGAACCCAGAAATGAGGCCGGCTTCCCCCAGCTCAGGCACCGAGGGACATTTAGATTTGGTTTCCCACACTGAAACCGTGCATCCCATTCTTCTGCCAGGAGACACAGCGATGCACTAGCATCACCCCACCCCACACCCCTGATCTGAATAGAGAAGGGACCCCCAGGAGCTACTCGGTAATACAACTTGAAATGTTCTTCCGCCCCCAAAGGGAGAAGGGGGCACTTCCAACTTCTGCAAGTCATAGGCACATCTTGAGGTGCAATGATATATCATTTGGCTCCTTCAGAGTCAGCCTGTGATGACCTTACAGACCCTGTGCAGATTATTGAACTTTTCTACGTGTAAAGTTGGGAAACAGTGAGCACCATAGCTTTCTAGTTCCAGGTCAGGGAACCTTAGGCCAGCAGCAGGTTTTCTGAGGATATCCAAAGAAGATAGTTATTTTCATACTTAGGGAGGGCCTCATGCTTCATAAGGGTTTAAGGAGCAGAAAAAAGGTACAAAGATATGGTCAAGATATAGTCGGAAAGCTAATGAAAGCCAGAGGCATTACAAAGACACACACGTACAATGGGTCAGACTAAATGTGGTTGAGAGATGCACCAGCAGGCCTAGAGTTTGCTCCCAAGGCGAGAATGGGGAGAGAGAGGTCTTTGTGGACTAGGGATCACGCAATATGGCTTGTGTTGCAAAATCAAACTCTCTTTTTCTCCTAGGAAAGTATGAAAAGCCTTCTCTCTCCACCCAGGTGGGGTCCCTGGTGAGGATGGGAGAGAATGTGACCTTGTCCTGCAGCTCCAAGATCCAATTTGACGTGTACCATCTGTTCAGGGGTGGGGAGGCCTGTGACCGCATGGTTGGTAGAGGGCTGAGCCATGATGGAACATTCCAGGTCCACTTTCCTGTGGGCCCTGTGACCCCTTCCCATAGAGGAACCTATAGATGCTACGGCTCATTGAATAACTCTTCCTACGAGTGGTCATCTCCAAGTGACCCCCTGCACCTTTCTGTCTTAGGTAAGGAGCCCATACATGCATACCTGGGGGCTGCTGCATCACAGAGCTGTGTCTGAGGGGTGCTGTCCTGGAGACATGAGGACCTTAGGGATTTTGGATACAATGAAGACATGGGAAATGCAGAGAGGAACGGAGAAGCTGAGTAGGACAGGGTCTATAAATGTAGGGTGGCAGACAAACCCCTTTCTCCTCCTGAACAGAGGCTACCTCAGGGTCCTGTGTATCCAGGTGAATGAGGACAAGGGTCATAACAATCACAGGGGCAGGTGAGACAGATGTGGTTTGGGAGATAAGAGGTTGCATCAACCCCTCAGCTTTATCCCAGAGGCCACCCCCAACTTCTCTCCCCTACAGAGATGCCCCTGTTGAGGAATGCAGACATTTATCATTCCAAGAGGAGACAATGTCTCTTAATCATGGGCACCTTTCATCACCAGGCAGCTCCTAGAATTCTCTACACCTTCACATCTCAGAGGGAGGGAATGTCTCTGACAGAGATTCTGTGGGACAGATCCCAGGACGCCACCCAGTGAATAAGTGGATGACAGTGTGGGGTGGACAGGGGACTGACATTCCCCTGGCCTTCTAGACAATGACTCTGCCTCACTGGTGCAAGGAAAGACCCTTCTCACCCCTTCTCTCTTCTTTTGTTAGAAACCCCTAAGAGTACTTGCCCATCACCCACAGAATCACCCTCTGGATCTGGTGAGTAAATGAGGCCCTTGAGTTTGAATCCCTAGGGAGAGGGAAGGCTTGTGTGTGCATGACGGCTTTGCCATCTCCCAGCCCTAGGACCTCGGGCTGGTCAACTCCCATGTCTAGTCCACGTATTCTCCATGGGTATTTGAGACTGTGGTCAGCATGGGAATCAGGGGTGGCATTTCACCTCATGCTTGGAACTGAGGCTTCATCCAAAACAGAGGAAGAGGGTCAGGCCCCCCTCTGAGAGGTGATGCTATCATCCTTGTGTCATGATCTATGAAAAAGGGAATGTTGGGAAGTTGGAAGGATTTAGGAAAACACTTTAAATATTTTTGGTCCACCTTTTAATGTTCTGTGATTTGAACACTCAACAGTTTAGAAGCAAAAGTGCCCCATGTTCACGGGAATCTCATCCCATTTGATGACATGGTCCTTACAATGGAAAAGACTGAAGTCAGACTCTTGGGTATAAGTGATGGCTCTGCTAGTTCTAGTCACTAATGTCACAGGGAGAAAAAAACTCATAATGAATAAACCAATGAATTGATTTAAAATTCATTAAGGTAGTCATGCCATAGAGAAGGCTTCAGTGGATAACTTAAGGTGAGTGGTAGGGAAGACTCTACCAAGGAAGTGACATTTAAGGCATGATCTTGATGACAAGGAGTAGGTGGAGGGATAACAGCAGCAGATAAAACTGTGAGTGCCCCACGCCCAGCGTGGAAGTGGTTGGGTGTGTTCACAGCACCCATGTGGCTGACAAGTGAACAAGGTGGAGCTGCCACAGGTAGAAGGAGACAACTCATTTACTGGAAGGGTCCTAAGCAGTCGTAAAGAGTTTGAATTGCCCATCCCACTTTCTCTTTTCCCCAAATCCCTCACCACCTCCATTTTTACCTATTACTAGGAGGAAATATTAATATTCTGTGTGGCAAGTTCAAATGTCAGCAGCCAGTGCTCGAAGCATCCTTAGGTCTCAGAGAGTGTAGTTGTGCCTGAATGAGGAGGACCAGGCAGAAATAGTGACCAGCTATGGAGGATGCAGAGTTTTCTTTTGTTTTCATGAAGAAACAAATGGCCTTGTCTGATGAGGAAGCAGGGTGGTTGGGGGTCACACTGAAGCCTGGGTTCAGACCCCTGCATGTCTCTTCCTGCCTCACTGATTAGGAAAACTGCCTTTACTACTCTTTGAATGTTTTGCACGTGCTGGACACTGGAGAAAGCAGGTGTTTGGTTTAAGGGATGTTGGGACAACAGCTCAACAGGAAGTGCACAGTGAGTCCACAGAACAGGCAACTGGTGAACGGGAGCTTTGGTCATTTGCTTATTGACAGAAGCGCATCTCCCTCAAGGACAGTCCAGCAGACTGGATGTTGTCATTGGACTCTCAGGAGTCGTCATCTCCATTGTCATTTTCCTCTCTGCTCTTCTTGGTTACTGGTGTTTCATCAAAAATTGTAAGTCTAAAGCAGGAGAGGGTGGTATCCCATGAGAGAGTGGGGGCTGTTGGGGGCACAAAGCTGCATGTTCACTTCCTGTAGATTGTTCTGTGCTTCCGTTGAGGTTCTTGTTGGAGGACCCTCTACCCCTTCCCTCAGCTGACCAGCCATCCCTTTCCCTCCCCTTCCTCCTCCCTAGCTCTGGGATCTGCAGAAGGGGATGACCCAGAAGGGAGGCAGTAGGATGGGGGTGGTCACAGGACTTGGGGTAGCCAAGGTCAGCCTGGAGTTATTGCTGGGGCAGTTTCCTGAATTTAGTGCAGGAAGCAGGCTGAGAAAGCCCAGGTGCAGTCTGCCTCATTCTGGCCATTTGTCCCCATGTTCCCCACAGACACCACCGTCACTCATGTGGAGCCCATGGGAGTCCACTTCCCAGACAGAGAGGTGAGTTCTCTCCCCCAAACCCTCACTGCAGCTTCACTCTCTCTGCCTGTCCAGCGACCTTGCCTTCACTTATTAATATCACCCTCTTCTTCTCATCCTTCTCCTCTAGGATGTCACAGCAGAAGAAACACAGGAGATAACATACACTCAGTTAAACTTCCAGACCATGTCACCGAGAAGACTCACTCCCAGATCCCAGTGTCCCAGGTACCTCTCAGATGAGACCAGCACCTACGTGGAACTCACCACCCACCACATGGGCCAGGCCGAGGGAGGCCAGACGTGACTCCCACCTCTGAGTGCTCAGAGGGTTACCAAGTGAGGACTGGTTCCATCCCCTGGGAGACTTCTTCCTCGGACACTCATCTGCCTTCTCAAACCATGTCAACATCTCCAAGGTGATGACACCAGAGTCTGAATACTTGCTGATGGTCTTAAAATCCCAGTGGTCTTCATGGACACCCAGCCATTTCAGAGAGGGCCTGTCCTCACCCACACATTCTGCACATCTCACTGCTGTCCATCTGGCATTTCCTGAAACTCTACAAAAGGGACTCTGGAGAGCGTGATTATTCAATCAAATTCTGCAGAAAGTAGCCCCAAACCATTTGTGGCCATTTAAACTGAAACCGAGTCTCTGATTATTTCTTTGGGTCCTGGCCCTGGAACGGGGCTTGTGACACATTTTGAATCACTTTTGAGGCACAGCTTCTATACCTGCTGTGGGTCACATCATGCTGCCCCACGATCCAGGGATTCCCTCTGGGGGTCCCGTCTGGTTGTGAGGGATTCAGATCAGCAAGGAGGTGACCATGACATGGTGCACCCAGGCACCACCTTGCCATGAGGACACACAGAATGTTTTCTGTCTAAGGAGCAGCCAGCCCAACTCCAAGTTGTCTGCAGAGAACTGTGATGTGACCCAGCTACCATCAGCTCCAAGGCTTGTCACAGTGAGTAGAATCTCTTCACACACCAAGGAAGAAGATTTTATCCACGGGGCAGCCACTGATTGGACCTCTCTGTCCCATGTGTCCTCTCATCACTGATGTGAGGCCCTTTGATGACCTTCACTCAGTGCCCAGGGAATGTCTACGCCTCCCCACACACTCTGTTTCCCGGGAACCACAGCTGTCTGAGCTTTGGTGAGTTCTTGCAGCTCTTCTGCTTGGCCCCTTCACAGGCACCTGGATGAGCAGAGAATTAGTTATTAGGGGACTGGGGAGCAATGTGAAAGCCCCCCCCCTGCCTGGGAGTTGCCTAAGAGTGTACTGCCCACTGCTGCTTAAAGAGACAATAGAAAGAAAATGACCCAAACATGAAGTGCAGCCAAGTCCTCCTACTCAGGCAGAACACTGCTTTTGTACATGGGTCATTACAAAAGTTTTGAGATACACAAAAATGAAGAAATGTAAAATCCTTCCCATGCAAGATAGAAAAACAAAGAAACGTAAAATCCTTTCAGATGGAAACAAATGAAGCCCTCCCAGCGACGCTGATCAGCTGAGCAAGTTGAAACTTGCACAGGTGAATCAGAAAGAATGCTGTTAACTAGGTTTCTTGGAAGTGAAATAATGGCCCATAACACAACCTGTCCCAAAACTTTTGTAGTGACACACGTACAATAACAGTCCAGGCTCCAAGGCAGAGTCAGAATCAGCCTCCCGGGTCGGCTGCCCAGGACTGAGGCACAGTGAACAGAAGTCACTACAACTAGCACTTAGGGCAGTTATTAGGAGTGTTATGTCTACAAGATTACAAAAAAAAAAACCTTTAAAATGGTAAATGTAGATTTGAGCATGCTGAAAAAAGTGTATGTACCATGAATGACCCAGAGAAGCATCTCAATTCCTGCTCAACAATTATAAGTTATGATGGCAACTTTTATTTTACCTTAATTTTTTTTTTCAGGCTTATTAGCCTGCTTTTTTTTTTTTTTTTTTTGAGAGTTGATATTTGTAATTTTTTGTTTTTGTTTTTAATAATTTTTTTTGAGACAAAGTCTCACTAGTCACCCTTGGTAGAGTGCCTTGGCGTTACAGATCACAGCAACCTCCAACTCTAGGGCTTAAGTGATTCTCTTGCCTCAGCCCTCCCAAGTAGCTGGGACTACAGGCACCTGCCACAATGCCTGGCTATTTTTCTGTTGTAGTTGTCATTGTTGTTTAGCTGGCCCGGGCTGTGTTCTAACCCACCAGCTTTGGTGCATGTGGCTGGTGCTGTAACCACTGGGCTACGGGTGCCAAGCTGATAATGTTTTTTCATATTTTTTTCTTCCTCGGTCTCTGCCTTAGCAAAATATTTGAACATCTGAACTGTCATTTCCCACCAGAAAAACAGGTTCCTACCCCAAAAGATGTGGAAACTCAACCCAAGTGTGGGTAAACACATGAATGGATTAAATGAACTGGGGCCCTGGTGGGGACGTGAGCTCAGCCTAGTGCACAGCATGCCCACTACCCCTGCTTATGGGATGGACCTCTCCGTGGCCATGAGTGAAGCAAAATGGAGTGGACACAACTCTGGGACTTCAGATTTTTAAATTATTAATGGTAGATTTGGGAATATTTTTTACTTTACTTTTTAAAATTTCAGATTAATATGAGGGCACATACAATTAGGTTACGTGGTTTGCATTTATAAGGTAAAGTCTGAATTGTGGTTGAGCCCTTGCCCCAGGAAGGGGCCATATAGTTCTACATTGTGCCCGTTAGGTGGGAACTTACTGAACCCCTTTTCCTCCCTTCTTGAATTTAATTGGGTTTTTATCTTGTGTTTTCCTGTGATTGTTCATCTACTAATTTCAAATCAGTATTAAATACATTGGACACTTGCTTTTCCATTCTTGAGATACTTTACTAAAGAGCATGTTCTCCGAATCCATCCATGTAAAGACAAAAGAGGCAAAGTCTCTGTCTTGTTTATGGCTGAAAAGTATTCCATTAGGCACCCACCCAGATGAAAAGAAATTACTTTATCATAAGGACACTTGCATCAGATGTTTACACCAGCTCAATTCACAATCGAAAAGATGTGGAAACTCAACCCAAGTGTGGGTAAACACAAGAATGGATTAATAAACTGGGAACATTTTGTAAATGATAGCATGTGCTCAAATATCTTCTCTAAGGTGTTTTATTTTTGGAAATTACAGTAACCCTTACACGGGCCACAGATGTTCGTTCTCTGACGCACTCACAGGAAATCCACAGAGAGGTCTCCACAAACACTATTATATCTGCAACAAAGTGTGAAACCGCTTAAAATCGCACTTGCTATTTACTGGTTGTGTGTGGGATTGAGTTTGTATGTGTGTTTCTTTCTTTTTTTGTTTTTCCATTTCAATTTTTTTCTTTAAAAGGAGTTGTGTACAGGAGGGTTTAATGCTTTATAGACAAGAATAAAACTGTGCTAGAACCAACTTATATTCATCCTCATCCTCGACCTCTTCCTTCTTTTTTTGCTTTTTTTCAGCCTTGCCGACTCCCTTTTCGCTGCATCAGGCTTTCCTTGAGCTCGGTCTGCAGCGATATCCTTTTTGTGTTTTTCCTTCAGCTTTGCAGCCTTCTTTTCCTCAGGCTGCTTGTCATCCGCAGCAGTGTTACTCCACATCTCTCCCCCTTCTTTGCAACATCACCAATGGACAGGCCGGGATGTTCTCCTTTGGTTTTTGGGCGATACTCAGAACAGAACAAGAAAAAGGCTGAAGGAAGCACTGAAGGTGCATCGGGATCCTTGAACTTTTTTGTTTCCCCTTTAGGGGGGATATAGGTTTTCGTTTCTCTTTCATAACGGGCCTTGTCCTCCTTTGCCGTATCTTTTTCCTTTCTCTTTAGCAGACATGGTCTTCCACCTCTCTGAGCACTTCTTAGAAAACTCTGAGAAGTTGACTGAAGCATCTGGGTGCTTCTTCTTGTGCTCCTCCCGACAAGTTTGCACAAAGAATGCACATGATGACATTTTGCCTCTCGGCTTCTTAGGATCTCCTTTGCCCATGTTTAGTTATTTTTCCTCAGCGAGGCACAGAGTCACACAGTGCCCATCCGGCTCTCACTTGCCCCGGTGCTGTCTCTATGGAGCTCAATGTCCCGCCATGTGCATTTTCTGTATATAGTTGGGTTCAACAGCATCATACAAAAGAAATGCCACTTTAATAATTTCTTCCAGGGGTTCGCTGCACTCATTTAAATATGGAGAACCTCACTTCTTAACGTCTCTTTTGAGAATAACCCTTTAGCAGGCCCTGAACCCTGTCAACAAAAATATTTTCAACAAAGATCCCCAAGAGAGTTTTAGAATCTAAATTCCTGCAAGAAATACAGCCTTTCGGCTCTGTTTGGTGGATCCTCACCAAACCTATTGTAAAACCTTGACCATTTTTATAGACTATGAGAAACAGTGAGACTTGCAGGGCCAGGCCAGGACGCTGAGAAGCTGGCAGGAACCAGCCCCTGCAGCCCACGGCCTGTCCTTCCCCACGGGTGTGTCTGGGAAGCCCTCCCTCCTCACCCTGCAGGGCCCTGTCCTGGCCCCTGAACAGAGCCTGATCCTCCAGTGTCGCTCTGATGTCAGGTATGACAATTTGCTCTGTCCCCGGAGGGGGTGCCTGTCTTTAATCAGTGCCCTGGCCTTTCCCCTTCCACTGTGGGTTCCTGTATGAATGAGGGGGCTGGGAATGAACTCCAAACACCCTCCTTTCTGACCCCATGGGGCATCTGAGACGTAGCTCACACTACACCTGCTCCTGTCTTCAGCCCTCTCTGGGCCTGTCCTGCTCCCCCCAGTAACAGAGAGTTGTCAGTGTTAAAAAACTGCAGGAGATGTAGGCAGGTGCATGTCATTCTTATCCATCAGATCTGAACTCTGCTTGTAAGAGGAAGCCAGAATATTATGAAACAGCAAAGATTTACAGAACTCCACTGATCAGGTTCTCTTGTCTCATAGGACATCTGCTGTTTGCTGAATCCATACCCCACATAGCTCTGCCTGACTCCCAGGTCCCTGCCCCGTCTGGGAGGATGTGTGGTGAGGAGGAGAAGGACAGACCAGGTCAGTAGGGTGTGGTACCCAGGCCTGATTTGAGATAGGACGATCTAGGGCAGGGGAGAGGGAGGACAGGCCGGCGACTTGGAGTGAGGACAGATGGATGCCCCCCTGAAGAACTCTTATTTCTCATTTCCAAGAGCCGCTGGGATGGAACCTCTCACCCACACCTGGAGGATGCCTGAGTCCTCTCAGGACAGGACAGGAGGCTTCTCAGACCTTGGTGGGATTTGACAGTGGTGAGGGTGATCCCTACAGCCAACATTCCTTCAGATTCCTGGGGGTTCCCCAGGCTGTGAGTGCCACTGGGCACAGCCTCCCGGTGCTTACCTGGTAGCCTCTGTGCTCAGGCACACCTGAGAGTCAGGAGGGGCCTGCATCCCTGCTCTCTGAGCCATAGCATACACATACAATATACATTCCATACACACTGCATAGCACGTCCTGTGTGTGAGTCATTTCTACTCTTCATCTTCTCTGATCATTTGTCTAATATTGTTTTCTCTTTTTTTGAAAAATTTAAAGCAATAATTCGATAAATAAATTTATAATTTTAATTTACCTAATATGGTTTTATATTTCAAAGTAAGTAATTCTATTCTCATTTTAACTGGGACTTGATTTAATTTATACATTAGTTTTAGAACATAATTTCTTATTAATGTCAAGTCTTCCTATCCTAACATTTAAAATGGAGGTTTATTAGTGAAACTAAGAGTATTTTGAAATTTTATTTATAAGATTGTATACATTCCTTCTAATATAAAGAATTATTCAACTACTTTCATCATTTATAAGAGGGATCTTTGGTTCCTCTATATTTTCAAAGGGACAGTTATGTATAAATAAGAAAGCTATTGATTTGACTATGTTCATTTTATTTCACACTCACTACAGAATTTGTTTTTCAATTAATCTCTTCTAATTTACTGATAAAATTCATATAAACCAAAGAAAATAGAAATTTCTCTTCATTATTTCTAAATTGCATGCCAGAATTTCTCACTTCAAATAATAAGTACTCATATTTATGTAAGATTATATAAATTACATGTGTATATACAGTGTATACATCTCCAAGAATATATGCACAAGTTCATCCATATACTCAATTTTTATGATTAATTAATTAATTAATTGTTGGAGATTCATTGAGGGTACAAAGAACCAGGTGACACTGATTGTATTTGTTGGGTAAAGTCCCTCTTATAATTGTGTCTCACCCCCAAAAGGTGTGTTACACACCGTGACCCCACACCCCTCTCTCTTTCCCTATTTCTGCTCTTCCCTTCCCCCATCCCCTCCCTCCTTCCCTCTCTCTGTTCTTCCCTTTCCCTACCCACTCCCTCTTTCCCTCTCTCGACTCTCCCCTTCCCCCAACCCCACTGTGTACTAGGTTATAAATTGTCCGCATATTAGAATTGAGTACATAGGATTCTTGCTTCTCCATTCTTGTGATGCTTTACGAAGAAAAATGTGTTCCGCTTCCATCCAGGTTAATACAAAGGATGTAAAGTCTCCATCTTTTTTAATGGCTGAATAGTATTCCATGTGTATACGTATGCCACAGCTGCTTCTTCTTCTTCTTCTTCTTCTTTTTTAGAAACAAATAAGATTTATTTATGGAGACCTTAATATAGTATAGATGGAAACTTTCCACAAAATCATAAAAATTAATTTTAATTTTTTTTATTAAATCATAGCTGTATACATTAATGCAATTATGGAATACAATGTGCTGGTTTTATATACCATTTGAAACATTTTCATTAAACTGGTTAACATAGCCTTCACTGCATTTTCTTAGTTATTGGGTTAAGACATTTATACTCTACACTTAGTAAATTAAACATGTACCTCCAGTGGTGCAATTGGTTAGTGTGCGGTACTTACATGCCACAGCTTCTTAATCCATTCCTGGGTGGTGGGCATTTAGGCTGTTTCCATGTTTTAGCGATTGTAAATTGAGCAGTGATAAACAGTCTAGTGCAAGTGTCCTTAGGGTAAAAGGATTTTTTTTCCTTCTGTGTAGATGCCCAGTAATGGGATTGCAGGATCAAATGGGAGGTCTAGCTTGAGTTCTTTGAGGGTTCTCCATACTTCCTTCCAAAAAGGTTGTAATAGTTTGCAGTCCCACCCGCAGGGTAAAAGTGTTCCTTTCTCTCCACATCCATGCACATCTGCAGTTTTGAGGTTTTGTGATGTGGGCCATTCTCTCTGGGGTTAGATGATATCTCAGGGTGGTTTTGATTTGCATTTCTCTAATACAGTGGTTCTCAACTTTCCTAATGCCTTGGGTGTATTTTCATTGTTACAAAGGGGTTGAGAACCACTGCTAATAATTAGGGATGATGAGCACTTTTTCATATGTTTGTTAGCCATTTGTCTGTCTTCTTTAGAGAAGGTTCTACTCATCTCTCTTGCCTAGTGATATATGGGATTGTTGGCTTTTTTCACGTGGATTAATTTGAGTTCTCTGTAGATCATAGTTATCAAGCTTTTGTCTGATTCAAATATGCAAATATCCTTTCCCATTGTATAGGTTGTCTATTTGCTTTGGTTGTTGTCTCCTTTTTTTTTTTGAGCCAGAGCCTCAAGCTGTCCCCCTGGGTAGAGTGCCATGGCATCACAGCTCACAGCAACCTCCAGCTCCTGGGCTCAAGCGAGTCTCCTGCCTCAGCCTCTGAAGTAGCTGGGACCACAGGCACCCACCACAACGCCCAGCTATTTTTTGGTTGCTGCCGCCGTTATTGTTTGGTGGGTCCAGGCTGGATTCGAATCCACTACCTTAGGTGTATGTGGCTGGTGCCTTAGCCACTTGAGCCACAGGCGCCAAGCCTGGTTTTTGTCTCCTTAGCTGTACAGAAGCTTTTCAGTTTAATTAAGTCCCATTTGTTTATTTTTGTTGTTGTTGCAATTGCCATGGAAGTCTTCTTATTCTTCTTCTTTTCCAGGGCTGGGTTTGAACCCACCACCTCTAGCATATGGGGCCAGCACCCCACTCCTTTGAGCCACAGGTGCCATCCACCATGGAAGTCTTCTTCATAAAGTCTTCCCCCAGGCTGATATTGTCAAGTGTTTTTCCTGTGCTTTCTTTTAGGATTTTTATCATTTCATGACTTAAATTTATATATTTTATCCATCCTGAATCAATTTTTATGAGTGGAGAAAAGTGTGGGTCCAGTTTCAGTCTTTTACATGTGGATATCCAGTTCTCCCAGCACCATCTGTTGAATGGTTCTTTCCCCTAGTGTATGTTCTTGTTTGGTTTATTGAAGATTAAGTGGCTGTTAGATGTTAGCTTCATTTCCTGATTTTCTATTTGATTCCAAATGTCTATGTCTCTATTTTTGTGCCAATACCATTGTTTTGACCACTATGGCCTTGTAGTACAGCCTAAAGTCTGATATGCTGATGTCCCGGTCTTTGTTTTAATTACTAAGAACTGCCTTACCTATGTTTTTTTTTTCTGATTCCACACAAAATGAAAAATTATTTTTTCCAAGTCTTGAATGTATGATATTGGTATTTAAATAGGGATGGCATTGAATCTGTAGATTGCTTTGGGAAGTATAAACATTTTGGCTTGGTGCCTGTGGCTCAAGTGGCTAAGGGGCCAGCCACATACACCTAAGGTGGCGGGTTCGAATCCAGCCCAGGCCTGCCAAACAAGAATGACAGCTGCAACCAAAAAAATAGCTGGGCGTTGTGGTGGGCGCCTGTGGTCTCAGCTACTTGGGA